TGTTATAGGTAGACTGTAAACTTCGTAAAAAGTAATTTTGAAGGATATTGCTAAAATGGTTAAATTTTATTACTCTCGGTAATGAAAATGTCAAATTATAAATTAACAAGAGCCCTTACTTAGCTTAAGTATAGAAATAATATACTAGTTACCTCGATTATTAGTAGTCAGTGCAGGCTTAACTGAGCTATTAATTGTAGTATTTGTATACGCAGCCAAAGAGACAAAGTCCTTTGGCTATCGATTTTAGGGTTATCTAGGATGAAGTGTAAACGCCTTTAACCAATTATAATCACTAGTTACGATGTAGTGTATTCTTCGTATATCTAGTTACGATTTTGTATATCGTAAATGATTGATTTAACCAAATCTTATAAAGATTTAAATTCTCTTACTAACTCTGGAAGTTGTCAATGGAAGAGCGATAATCGCTCTTCTTTGCAATTACACTACTGTCTTAACAATTAGATTCGAATATTAAATTACTCTTTGTTGAGCATTAGTTTAGGCAAAATGTCAACTAGCACACAGACTACTAAAAAGCTGAGCAATTAATCGATTGGTCATTATTATACACTTATATCGCAACACAATGCTGCACTGGTATGTAATTGACGCCTTACAATTTAATATACTTGTTACGCTGTGATATCATAAATTCCGTCAGAAAATTTATCTAGGAATGCATTTACATACCGTCATTTATGATGTTTTTCATGCTTTTAATAGATAACTGCATAGCTTAATAATATTATCTATAAACAGATAATTAATATTTATTTCCATTCACTATAAATTGATTGACTTTTAACAAAGTTTGGATTCAGTTATGTCTAAGAGAGAATAGTATTGTGTCACTGTCCTTCCCAACGAAAGGAGATCGTCAGTATTTAGAGTCGTACTGTAGGTTGATGTCAAGAAAACTAACTAATCAGTAGACTTATAGTATACTTTCTATAATAGTTTAGCATTTTTCTCGTTATACATTTCGACTTGTAACAATGCTATTTTGATATTTGCTCGTAGAGGAGTAATATAGCTTAGTATAAGAAGCGCTTATATGCAGCACTAGTTAAAGTAACTGTTATGTCTGTAGTTGTAAAATGAGTACGATTACGGTATGTATGTGTTAAGACATATTACTCGTCACAGGGCAGTTCTTAACAGTAATGACGAGTTATTAGGAGCCAATTATGCTTACTCAAAAGGCGTCAATTTATCTTTAATTGTTTGAGATGTAATGATGTTATATACTTAGTGAGAAGTAGCAATGATAATTAATAGACAATAAAAAGTAAAAGTATATAAGGTTCGCAAAGTATAACGAACATGAGTTGTACTATTAATGATTATCATACAAAAAGTTTGATTTAAGATAATTTCATGTCCATTGCGACTCCAGTAGCTAATTTTTGTAAATTATAATTACTTGTTGGAACGTATTTATCTCACGATAAAGTATCTATATAGCTAAATATATAACACAAACATAACTTAAAGTACAGTATAATAAATTCTTTTAAGAACTAAATTTTAACAAGCTTAGCAAGAAATATAATACAGTACTCTTAAAATTGTATTGAATCCACGAGAGAATTAAAATGTTTCTATAGTTGCAATTACCCGTGCATTCTAATATACCATTGGTCTGCATGATTGTCAAACTTATAAATTGAAAATCTACCGTAATTTGTGGACTATAAATAGAGCTTTTCATTGTTTTTACAATGGATATAGCTAGATTACGATTACGACATATGATATAGGATATGATGCTAATCCTTATTTCACCTTGTCAGAACGGCATATCGCTATCGTTTCTCACAAGTTTTCGTATCGATTACTACAGAAAAGTTTTTTAATAGTTCATTATTGAAAAGTTGATCGTGTTATATTCAGTAATGTGGTATAAGATTTTAAGATGGTATATATTCTAATATTTAATATGTTTTGTATGAACTACACTATAATGAACAAATTTTGTATCTTAAATACGTAGATAAGTATGTAGTAAAGGACTAAAAGTAGAGTACTTTATAGCTTTTTGGTATGTAACTAGTACTATTTTACTATAGAAAATACCTAGAAAGTGATAGTGTTTTTAAGTTTTACCCTGCCAAATCATCATGTCGCCATCTTTTCTTCTTCATTATTTTACAAGGCATTATATAGATTACTATAGAAATAGCCCGAGAGCAATTGCCTAATCTATAGAAAGGGCGTTTGATCGTTTATTCAAATTGTAAAGGAATTTGACTTAGTGGCAAAACCCTATCCTTAGAGAAAGGGGATTTATAACATGACGATAAAGTACTGTAATGTAGTCTATAATCATACAGTCACCGTACAATCTGACGCTAAAACATCAACTGTCAATACTCGCGAATACTCAGCGATACTAATGTCAGAAAAGTAGTCGTAATAGTCATATAAATTTTTTCGATAAGCGATTACTGTGATCTTTATAAAAACCGAATTTTTCGGATTCGGATTCCGGAACCGGTCAGATTTATGTCCGATATAATTTTTCTGTTTTAATTTAATTTTTGTCTGATATAATTTTTCTGTTTTAATTTAATTTTGGGGGATTTTTGTTCATGAAAAATATCGTAAGAGTTGATTTTTGAAATTTGGACTTTTTGTTATGAATTTAAAACTTTGGAATTTTATGACGTGACTGCGAAGTCACATTAGGAGAATTTAGTGAGGAAAATAGAAAATAAGATGGAAATTGGTAGAGGTTGTGTTGATTGTTAAGTAGTTAAACTGTTGTTTTTATGACTAAATCTTGATGTTTAAAGGTTGATTTTTAGACTTTTATAGTGTATTAATGATAGAAATTAAGTTAGGAGTGAAGTTTGATGCATTTTTATAGTTAGCTTGTTAGTTTTATAGTGTTTTGTAATGGAATCGTAGGGTAATATGTGTCTGAACTTTGAGTGATTTTTGTTTTCTTAAATGGTGCAAAGTAGTTTTCTAAAACAGATCTGAAGAGCAATTGGTTAGCAAATATTTAGTTTTAAATACATTAGATGGCTCTACGAAGTCTATAAATGATAGTACAACTAAAAAATTTAGAAGGGAGAGTAGAAGAAGATTTTACTTGAAGAACTTGTTGAATTTAAAAGGCCTTCGGGGTCGAATTGTCGTAAGTTAGAACGTTCTTCTTTTTTGAAAGGTTGTTTGGTCGTTGACAGTTTTTAAGTCTGTCATTTATTTTAATAATGCTTAAAGCTAAGTATTTGTAAGGTTGTTCGGTTTATACTTCTCTTCATTTTTGTTTTGTAATAAATTATTGTTCGTTTATTTCCCCAAATTTTATTTGGTGTCAAAGTATTAGCGTTAAGTCGACCGGAGTGCAACGAAAGTAGAATGAAAGTTTGTTAAAGTTTTGTAGCTTGATCTCTACACATTTCATTTCATTACAAGTAGAAAAATGTTAGCAATTGCCTATTCTAAAGAAAGATCGTTTGATGGCTTTTTTGGATTAAAATTTAGAAATCGTAGCAAAACACTATCCTTTTAGAAGCTTCGGCAATGAAGCATAGCCTATTTACGCTAACGACATAAATTTATTTTATAGATTAACTTTTAGTTTTTCTTGAAGTTTACTCACTAGAAAAAGTGTTTAAGATAAAATAATTGATCTACCGTTATACCATAGTTTGTTTGTTAAATTTATAGCGTTCTGTGCAGAAATCGTAGGTAAATTGTGTCTGTGCTTTGTACGATATTTACTTTCAGAAATGATGCACAGTAGAATTCTGGGCATAACGGTATAACCCAAAATTGAGTTCGATGTTAAGAAATGTTTAATTTTGATAGCGCTAGTTCTATTCTACTTATCTATAGTAACTAGTCCTACAATGAGACTAGACTCGATTTTTTAAGAGTTATACTTTCATATTAACGGACTAATTGAGTAATTTAATCGATTTAGAATAGGAAGAACAGCAGTTGCTGCTCCATTTCCGTACCCGGTAATGAAGCATACTCTGTTTACGCTAACGACAGAAATCTATCTTATAGATTAACTGATAGTTTTTCTTGAAGTTTAATTGCCAAAAAAATGTAATAAAAATTGATCTACTGTGATATGTAGCTCGTTTGTTAAATTTATAGCGCTCTGTACAGAAATCGTAGGTAAATTGTGTCTGAGCTTTTGTATGATGTGTACTTTCATAAATGATGCACAGTAGAATTCCCAAGTAATAACTTCTAAAATATTACTTAATTAGTATTTAACTAGATTAACAACTCATTTGAGGTACTATTAACAGTTTAGGATATCTTCCTGAAGAAGTTTTCAGTTACATAGTGTCAAGCATCGGCTATCTTGGCTTTACCATGATAGCTATGAGGTATTACGAATGATTTAAGAGCAACTAGTACGTAATCTACACGTTTCAAATGTGTTATTAGTCTACAGAGTAGTTGTTACCTTTCATATTTTGAACTATGTTTATACTGATCTTTGGTAAATCCATAGTCAGCAATATCAATAAATGACGTCGAAATAGGGTAGTTAAAATAGGAGTGGAGTAAAGATAATTTACATTATGTTATCATCAAAATTTGCTTAACTTAGATAGATCTTGGATAAGAAGTAAATAAGAAGTAAGTACAATGCTAAATTGGCAATAATATTACAGATTAGAAAATTATAAAAGTCTGTAAAGCATACTTTCTCAAACGGTAGTATAATAAATCTAATAACGCCCTTCAACCCCAAAAGTAAATAATTAATTATAATTATTAACCTTTCTTCAGTAAACAAAGATTTCTACAGTTACAATTAATATCCTGTAACTGAGATACTAAGAAATTATTTTTGCTGAAATTATCAATAGATTAATGAAATTGAGTAGAGTGATTCATGAAGTGAAAATGAAAGAATTAGTTTCAGATGTTTATTGTCATATATTCGTTGTTTTGAAAGGCGCGAAGCATAAATTTATCATCACTTTACTATTCTGTTATTTACTGAGAAAATACATGAGTTATAATTTACCTGGAGCCGTTTCTGTATCCATCTTGTCAACTTCGTCTTTCGCAGGGCTAAGTTGTTGTTGACTCGATTTGGTCTCTGGCTTAGGTTTGACGATACTTTCTAAAATTTCAAGATATAACATAAATTTATATTCGTCAAATTTATAGTTCGGTGAAAATAAGTACTTTTGCATGACGATATTTTATGATCTTTACCACTCATACTGCTACTTAAAGATCATTTAAAGCAAACACAAGTGATTAGAATATTTCTTATACGGATACTAAGAATACACAAATCATGTTACAAATGTAATGACCCGTATTTCTTTGTTTAACGGTACCATATAGTTTCTCTAATTTTTTCTTGAATTCATCATCTGTTTGCTTTTGACGAAGAATTTTAGTGTAGACCTTACCACTAACTAAAACATAGAAATCTCTCTCGCCATCTGAACTTATCAAATCCTTCTTTGGATCAACATCTTTGATGATGATAGGTTTTATTGTCTTTCGATGCTTATGTGCGTAATTAAATTCCAGGTAAGAATATTCTAAATTTACGTAATTCTTGCTCAAAAACGGCAAATTTAGCTTTGATTATTTGTAGGTGAAATAGTTATTGTGTTTGAGTTATATGAAAATTTACGTGCCGGTAAGATTTGATCTTATATACTAAGTGAAAAGCTGCATTGATAATACAATAATAGTCATCACCACGCAGTGAAGTTTAATTTGTTATAGTTTTATGTACGTTGTGACTCTATTACCTAATTACTATAAGTTACAATCACTAGCTGGAATGTATTCATCTCATGTTACAGTATCTGTACAGCTAAATATCTTGCATAAACATAACTTTAAGTAATGTTTGACAAATCCTAATAATAATTAGATTTTAACGACCATAGAAGGGTAAATGATATTCTTAAAATTGTGATGAACCCATAATAGCATTAAAATGTGCCTATAGTTGTAATTACCTGTGTTTTTTTTAATATCTTTAGAGTTTTTCGGTTTTCGACCTAAATAACAGATACAACAGGTAATTTAGTTACTATGTAGCTACTTACAAAGAGAATATTTATCAGAAAGTTAGATTTATAGCGATATCAAATTGATTACAAATTTAGGATGCAATGATTAATTAGCGGTAAAGTTTTAGCTGATTATAGCAGGCAATATCAAAAATCATATTTTAATGTAATACACATAAATTAATCACAAAAGCTCTTAGCTTGATAAGTTAATTCAATACGTACTGGTTAATGTCAAATTCAATTCAATATTTATACTACCACTACATTTATTGATTTCATCAATAAAGTTTTATACCTAAGAGATGCTGTGAGTCAAATAAATAGAACAGTGTACTAAAGGTAGCATTATTAGCAGATTAGTTTGGTAAAAGCTGCAATGCTAAATACTTCAGCTATAAAATTAGTTACTGGTATATTTTCTGAATTTACTCAATCAAATAGTTCATTTATTTATTTGTAAAGCTTATATCCTATGTCGAATTATCTACAGTAGCACATTGGCTACCTAACTTCGTGTTTTCTAGAATGCATAACAATCGATTTTAGCTAAATTCAATCATTATTTGAAATATCAGATTCGTATGTGTGGTATTAATGCGACTAAAAACCGAGTGCGAGGTAGGACGTAGTTGTATCATGTAATACTTATATACGTCTTGCATATTGAAAATGTTAGGCTTAGATATTGTGGTTAATTATCCTAAAATACAATACAGTACTCGCAAATCGTATCTTACCTCCACTTTTGCTTGATATAGAGTATTTCTTTTTCAACTTCTCAGCCACTACTACTTCATTGCAAGAACGCAAAGCATCTAATAATTTATCAAACGTTGCTGCAGAGGCAAATTGAGAGTACCATTCCTCCAACAGATGAATAAACTTATCAAATCTGTTACCATTCGAATTGGCTAGATCGTCAACATCATTATTAGATAATCGTAACTTTCGACCAAGTTCGATTACTTTGATTGACTTTGCATTATCAGCGATATCTATAAAGATATCAGGCCTTTTAAGATCTAAATAATATCAAATAATGGAAGAATATCGATAATATTTTAGATGTTGTAATTAATTCATTGACGTTCCTAAAATTCCTAACAAAATGCATTAATATCTTTATAAAATTTGTGCAGTGTTCACTTCTAAATACAGTATAGTCAATTTTTAGTGAAAGTATTAGTTTACACTAGACTGTAACATAACTCTAAATATGTATGATCTATATTTAACAATTTACTCGGTGGAAATATCTTGTACTCTAGCTAAATTATACCGTTGCACTAGCTTAAAATAGAAGTAACCTATTTTCATGAATTATTCGCGCTCATAAATAATTTCGTCCTGCTGTGCTCCTAACATTACAAAAGCTATCTTTTTTCGCCTATCTCGCTAGCTAGTTCTGTTATTTATACGGTATGCTTGCACGCTTTATCTATTCTACACTACTATAGTTATTCGACTAGTCACGTCGTTACTCACCCGATAGTGTTACACGATTATTTTCTTACACTAGCTCAATAAAGATTACACTTCCCTTCACTATTCTATTTTACTTTATTGCGACTAATGCCGAACTTTCACCTCTAAACATGCCAATTTGAAGTATAAAATATTGCTTGCATTGAACTATTTCATTTTATGTCGTCTAAGCTAATTATAAACTAACATACATATTTTAATCTTATGGTAATAAGTGGCATCACCTAATCGTATATACATGCAAGGAAACTAATTACGATATATAGACGACCATTACTAACTTACCATCTTGTATTGGATCCATATCGTTTTGTATTGCTATTCCTTCCTGTTGACTAGTTTCAGATTCTTGCGAAATAAACCCAAGTTCATTAATTCAGCGGTATAAAGGCACATTGAATGCATACGAAAGAAAACTAAAATCATTTCTGGGGTAATATAGCCCGATTTTATCGGTGTTAGTGCTGTAGAGCTGTTTTATTTTGAAATATATGCGCTTATTTACTACGAATTATTAAGAGCCAATTATGCTTACTCAAAAGGCGTCAATTTATCTTTAATTGTTTGAGATGTAATGATGTTATATACTTAGTGAGAAGTAGCAATGATAATTAATAGACAATAAAAAGTAAAAGTATATAAGGTTCGCAAAGTATAACGAACATGAGTTGTACTATTAATGATTATCATACAAAACAGTTTGATTTAAGATAATTTCATGTCCATTGCGACTCCAGTAGCTAATTTTTGTAAATTATAATTACTTGTTGGAACGTATTTATCTCACGATAAAGTATCTATATAGCTAAATATATAACACAAACATAACTTAAAGTATAGTATAATAAATTCTTTTAAGAACTAAATTTTAACGAGCTTAGCAAAGAATATAATACTCTTAAAATTGCATTGAATCCACGAGAGAATTAAAATGTTTCTATAGTTGCAATTACCCGTGCATTCTAATATACCATTGGTCAGCATAAATGTCAAACTTATAAATTGAAAATCTACCGTAATTTGTGGACTATAAATAGAGTCTTTCATTGTCTTTATAATAGATATAGTTAGATTACGATTACGACATATAATATAGGATATGATGCTAATCCTTATTTCATTGACTTAAAAGCATAGTCGACAGTTCCGTATGCAAACAGAATAGAAATCAATTATTTATTACGCACCAAAATTACTGCAATGTCTACTATAGAATAGTCTTGTAGTGAGGCTGTTAGTTCAGTTATAAAATCTAATTCTAGTCATAAAACTTCGTTCTCATACTAGATTGTGTAAGTATTAAGAGTTATTGTTTGCAATCTTTACGTTGTAAACATGTTAGGGAACGTACTTAAGTAGTTATTTTATTCTGTTATTATTATTTTAAGTCTTTGTTTCAAAAATCTGCTGTTGTAACAAATTTTTCTATGTCCGTCAGAGCCTGTTATACTATTACTTAGTATTTCGATTGTTAGAGTATCAGTAATAAAACTATGCTATTATAAAATTCTTTTTATTGCTTGCAGTCTAAATGCAGCTAGTAGAACAGGTTTTATTACATTTGCATGTATGGAATACGAATCCAAGACGATCTTTACATTACCCATTATTGAGCCTTACTGAAGACAAAAATGAAAAATAGCATATAGATTACCAAGAAACTGAGCAATTAATCAATTGCTTTTCCTCATATACTTGTGTTACAACGCAGTGACGCTCGTAGATGTAAATTTATGCCTTATAACTTAATATGTTATTATGAGACTTACTTTTAGAAGAATAACATAAAATGATCTAGGAAACATTTGTAAGCAACACTAATTATTAAAAACAACTAATTAATCGATTATGCTCGCTCAAAAGGTGTCAATTCAGCTTTGATTATATTATTTGTAGGTGAAATGGTATTGTGTTTGACTTATATGAAAATTTACGTACCGGTAAGATTTGATCTTATATACTAAGTGAAACGCTGCATTGATAACAATCACTGTTACAATCACTAGCTGGAATGTATTCATCTCATGTTACAGTATCTGTACAGCTAAATATCTTGCATAAACATAACTTTAAGTAAAGTTTGACAAATCCTAATAATAATTAAATTTTAACGACCATAGAAGGATAAATGATATTCTTAAAATTGTGATGAACCCATAATAGCATTAAAATGTGTCTATAGTTGTAATTACCTGTGTCTTTTTTAATATCTTTAGAGTTTTTCGGTTTTCGACCTAAATAACAGATACAACAGGTAATTTAGTTACTATGTAGCTACTTACAAAGAGAATATTTATCAGAAAGTTAGATTTATAGCGATATCAAATTGATTACAAATTTAGGATGTAATGATTAAGTAGCGGTAAAGTTTTAGCTGATTATAGCAGGCAATATCAAAAATCATATTTTAATGTAATACACATAAATTAATCACAAAAGCTCTTAGCTTGATAAGTTAATTCAATACGTACTGGTTAATGTCAAATTCAATTCAGTATTTATATACATGTTAAAAGTACGTATTACCGATTACCTTAAGTACTAAATTATCAATGATCTAAATAATTGTAACTCTTACACAACATGATTATCATAAATTATAGCCTTTTGTCCTAGTTAAACATGTTAAAATTATAGTGGAAACATAGTTCATTGACAACATACTAGTATAACAGCATAAAAAGTGATACTAATCTTTAATTTACCTTGTCGAAACGACACATCGCTATTGTTTTAACAAGTTTTCATATCGTCTACTACTGTAAATTGAAAATCTAATTTCATTATGTACATGTCGTACTATTTTCTACTCTGATCGCTTTATTGTTATTTCTACTCGAAAGTGGGATAATCATGTATCACATCCTTAAGTCTTAATCGTTAGGTCTATTTGTAAACTTTAATGCTTACCACTATTGAAGTTTTCCACTGTTATTTCACAATATGTTAAAGCATCGCAAAACTCATCAAAGGCTCTATCACCACGCTCAGGCAGAATATCCAATAAAGTGCAAACTTTTCTGTAAAACAAAATTAAATAATTACGATAACTGCTCTCCGACTACAAAATTTATTCTTGCAGTAAATAAACAAACTATTAATTTAGCTTGCCATTTCATATTAGATAGAATACTGTTTAACAGTTACTGAACATGTACTATATAAAAACTTCTTACTCAAAAGCCGTCGATTTAGATTCGATTATTTGTTTGTGGTATGATGTTAATATATTCGCTTCAAATAAACATTCACATATCGGTGAGATTTGATCCTGACATTTTCGAGCAAGTAACATTCGACTGGCTCTTAGGATTTCACGATGTTCTTGAGTCATTAATCCTGAGGACATTTTGGGTGGCTTTTCCAAAATATTAAATAGATGTTTAAGTTCGAGAAAAGCTACAGTTTTGATAGAAGCTGTATCTTTTTTTCTTTTGCGCTAATTCTAATTAAAAGCGATTGTATTTAAGATAAGCGCTTTATACTGTTGGGTTGGGTAGTAGAGGATGTGTAATTATTTTGGAATAATCTGTGTTAAAAAACTGGTATCTTATTCATTAATGATTATTTTGCTGTTACCCACGCCAATGCTAAAAATTTTCTTACTTATTAAGAGGTAATGGTTAACAAAAATAGTGCAAAATCTATTTGATGTAAACTGATGCTTTTGATGCATGTTAGAAAGTTTTGAAATTAATAGTAACCTTCGATTACATTATTTTTCTAAGTCAGTTAAATAATAAAGCTATAGCAGAGTTTTAATCCAATTAGCGGAAATAGGTAGTAACTATAGCTCAATGTTAGCGTATCCGTGCAGTATATTAGGGATATTTAGAAAGATTGGTCATATTTACTGCACGCATGGTGCCATTTACCCGAGTAACTAACAAATTATATTGAAACCACCGCAGATTTACGAATCTTAAGTTCAACGCGATCTATTGGCCAATTTAGAGTGCTGATGATTGTAAATACAGCGAAAAGCGAAAATTGTTCCTTAAAACTGATTTAAAATATTACAGTTGTTTCATAATCGTTAATTACAGGTTATAATGCCTACTATCACTATCTTTATCGATGAAATCAATCAATTTTATACCTAATGGATGCCGGTAAGTCAAACAAATAGAACAGTGTATATGCACAAATGGTAGTCCATGGTTACGGTATAACCCCAAAATTAAGTTCGATGTTAAGAAATGTTCAATTTTAATAGCGCTGGTTCTAATCTACTTATCTATAGTAATTAGTCCTGCAATGAAACTAGGCTCGAATTTTTATAAGTTATACTTTCATATCAACACACTAATTGAGTAATTTAATCGCTTTACAATGCGAAGAACAGCCATTACTGCTTCATTTCCTTACCTAACTGATCTACTGTTTGTCGTTTACGAGTGCTTGATAAATTCTTCGATTCACTATCGTCGCTTCGATACCAATTGCAGGTGCCCAGACCAAGGAACTACTTCAAAAAAGGCAGTGAACTACTTCCGAAGTAGAACTAGCTAGTATATACTAGCAATGTAATATTAGTTACTAGTTCCTGGCAGTGAACTACTTCCGGTTGTGCTAGCCCACGATTAGCTACCTTCACCATACTAATAGATGATTTTACTAGTTATTTCAACTGTATGGTATGTCTGTAACGGTACACTCTACTGTATACGATTGACATGCAAATGAGCTGGCAGTGGCCGGCGTGTTTTACTACTTTTGGCGCCAACACAACATACCCATCAAGACTGTTGTTGTCAGCGTTAAGAGTAGCGTAGCCTACCATACAGCATTTAGCCAATAACGCTGTACACTAACGAGGCAGTCTCTCTATAAAATAGCAATAACTCAATATTGGCGTTGCTTGTGAGTGCGCTGTCATTGCGGGCCTTGGTGGTAACATAACTAGGAAAATGTCAATAAACTTCAATATAAATTAATTTTCTAAATTAAAATAATGAATGGTATTTCACAAGCAGGTTTAAGCACAAGAAACTTTCTCAGTCATCAATTTCTTCATTCTAAGCATCATAGATCGAACTTTAATCCTGTAGAAAATGTTATGACAATGCAGTATGAAGTAGTAAGCATAAAATCATTCTAAAAATGTAAGGAATGAAATGGTTTGTAAAGCCATAATTTAATTATACTAAATCAAAATATCTAGAGTAGTCCATTCATTCCACCAGTAAAATTTATGCACATAACATTGTCCGGTCGCCTTTCTAAGTCTATAATTTATCTTTCCAATTTCATTCATACAATCATTACGTAGTGATAATTTTGGCATCAGCAAAAGTAATTTTATTTTAATTCATCGTCTATTAATGTCTCTTTGCAACTTTTCAAAACTGACAGTAATACATCAAATGTCGCTTCTGCTGTAAATGTAGTATTCCATGCTTCCAACAGATGAATACACTTGTCAATTCTGCCATCGCTCGTATCGGCTATGTCATCAACGTCATTAGGCTGTAATTTCAATTTTCGACCAAATTCTTTTAACTTCTTTGATTTTATTCTATCAGCTATATACATGAAGGTTTCACGCCTTCTACCCTCTATATAGAACATCAAAGCATTGAAGTAAATCAGTTGTTTAGCTGTAATTATCATGGATTCATTTTCATTACTAAAATTTCTAGCCTAACTAT